TAAATAATTTTATCTCGAGCACTATACAAGATTTCCCACCTATATACACAGATCAGAGTGGCATATCTACTCGAGCAAAAATTGTCTACTTATATAACAAACGTGTAATTAGATAGATATATTATATTATTTGAAAAATATCACCTTTGCAGTCTGTTGACACTATATATGCCGTTTTATTCGTAGGAAATTGCCGCCAGATAGCTTGCAGCGCAGCCGATTGACGTCCTACGAAAACGCCTACAACCGTGGTGGTGATGTGCAGGGGGGCGTTGGTGTCGGTATCGGCGGCGGTGGCACCGGCGTCACGTCGGTTACATCTAAGTCGACGGCCGTGTACAATAGCAGATATGATGAACAGAACCGAGTTCCGCGACTCGTATTACCGGCCCAACGAACTAACGTCCAAGTTCGCGTCGTGGGCCGAACCATTCTACAAGAGCTGGTCGTCGTGGGACAAGGACCGGGCTTCGTTCAACAACAACAACATAGGTTCACCGTCGTTCTCTTGGGACAGGGAACCGCTAACCAGGGGAAGTGGGTCGTGGGACAGGGAGCCACTCAACAGAGGCGGCGGCTCGTGGGACAGAGAGCCTCTCGGCGGGGACGGTGGCAGCTCGTGGGACAACAGGGGATCGTCGTGGGACAACAGGGGCTCATCGTGGGACAAGGATCTAGTCGAAGTGCCATTGCAAAAGCCCTACAGAGGTGGTAGTGGTAGTGGTGGTGGCGGAAATAACAACTTATACAACAACGACAATTATCCGGAAGTGGCGGTAAGGGGCGATCGGCAGCAGTAACGGCTCACCACCACTCGCGCCGCCACCAAGGTTCACGATCATCGATGTGAAACCTTACCACGATCAGCAGCCGCCGACGATGCGGTACGACGAGCGCAGCAAGCCGATGGCACAGCAGAAGCACATGCGGTACGAACTGCCACAAAAGCCGATGCGGTACGAAGCGGATATGCCGTTGAACACACGCATCGAACAGCAACAGCCAATGCCGCCGTCCATGCGGTTTGAACAGCAGTATAGGTCTCCACAACAGCAACAGCCATCGTCTACTCGATACGGGCAACAACAACAAACACAGAACAAACCTCCGTCGAATGGGTATGTATTTATTATAATTAATAGCTAGAGCCTAGAGTAACAACTTTCATGCATATTTTGAAATTTTTTGAGGTTTAAGGTCATATTTTTGATTTTAAGAGCATATTTTTATACGTGGATCATTGAATATACTGATTTTACTATATATTTTATTTTGTTTTGTGTACATGATTTATGAAAAAAAAAAAAAAAATTTTTTATTTTTATTTTAAAAATATTTTTTGACAGGAAAGTGAATCTATGGTTGGTTCATTTCAGAGGTCAAAATTAAAAATCCCAAGTAATCTTTTTAGCTATTGGGATATACTAAAAAAAAAAAAAATTTACAAAAACGAGAATCTTTATTCAATATCAGTTTTTCATATTTAGGTATTTAGTCCTTGCCATTTTCTCCAAATATTTATATTAGCATTCTTCATACATGATATAATTTTAATATGACGATTGAACAGTAAACATAGACAATAGTAAAACACATATAAATCCTGGCCTTTTAACGCATTATATGCATATTACCATTAATTGTAATGTAATAATGTAGTATACCGAATCTCTTGAGTATTCCTTGAACTGTTATTTGTAACAGTATTTGGATACAAAGAAACGAGCTCAATAGCTCATGTGATAACTACCTCATATAGGTGGTAGGTTAGTAAATAGTAGGTACTTATGATTTATAATAACGATTAATAAATACAATTTATAAAAAACAATTAATTAAAATTATTTATAAGGGGGTTAATGAAATTATTAAACAATAGGTATTTTATTTATTTAATAAATATTATTTCCTTTTGCTCTAAATCTAAAAAGTTTATGAGGATCTATCACCCATATTTCCCATGGTTAGGCCCCTTACGGGGGTGCAAAGTTTTTTTTTTAAATTGGGGCGAAAAATGTCTAAACGCGGCACTGCAGAGATTGTGGTTAGTAGGTAACCGTGGTGGATAGTTTTTAAGGAATTCGTATTAGGTAACTTTCAAATTGCATGCATGCGGGTCTTGTAAATGTGTGCGTAGTAAGTGATAATTAGTGTTAAGCCCCCCCCCAAAAAAGTAACAAAACAAAAAGAAGTATTCCTCCAGTCCCACCTAACTTGAAATTTCCTAGAGTTAGGGACTTGACACAAACGTGTGACCAAGTAGAACATAATATAGCACTAGTACATTAGTTACGGCACAATAGAATGAAAAAACGGGTCATTAATATAAACTAAATTTAAATCTCTTAATAATGATTCAAACCACCGAGTTTTAAGTAAATCCTTACATTCTATTGTCGCGTCAGGGAGGTTAGTTCCATGATGAATTCTGCTCCTTGCACTATACGTATCCAGTACTCCATTGCTTGGCGCCTTTCACTCACAGCACAGCTTCCAACAGTCTGGTTGGCTTTGGGTCTACAGTTCCTGCAAAATCGAATAATATAAAACACAATTCTTAATAACCGTTTAGATTAAAATGACGATTCAGCAGTTGTATACTTAGTGAAGTGCTTGACGTAGTCGTTATTAGCATACTGCATTGCACTGTTCTTTCTTCAATTGTGTCTGATACTGTTTTCAATATGATGTCCGGCCATTTAATTTCCAAATACAGTAGAACCTCTATTATCCGTGACTCGATTATCCGTGTTCGCGATTAACCGTGCTCACTCTTCCGAAAATTTAAAAATAAGTATGGACTGTAGATATTAGAGGTCTCAATGGAACAAGTGTTTTTTTGCACCCGTGTATCCGTGATACGGATATATATTTTGAATAAACATGTATTTCACTTGACACGTAAATTCGAAATTTGTACAAGGACTATAGTCTATAATAGTGATTAAGCAATCACCGAAATTGTCGTAATACTGCTTTCGTTTACTTTATAATCACGATAATAACAGCAGCAGTCAATAATAAAAATAAAAATATCATAATATTTAATCAAACAATTTCGAAAAGGACTCATATCACCGAGATATCACAATTATATTCTTAAAAATTATAACGCGGTCAAAAAGACCGCGGTGCGACGAACGACGTAATATACACTAGCTTGACTAACGAATAAAATTGTACCTATGTATTTCTAATTATAATTAAATAAAAAATGTCATTATTATAAAAAGTCTCGATTAACCGTGGTTTTCATTTATCCGTGGACCCCCTCCCCACCATTATTACCCCGGATAATCGAGGTTCCACTGTATACCTAAATACATAATACTTACCAACAAAATTAACCACTTAATATTTTTTTCGAATTCTAATTTTAAAGTTATTTCAGTACAAAGGTACAATATTAAATTGGCATTTGCACTAACTTCTGATAATTATACATTATAATAATTATTGCCTGGATTTAAAGGCCCTAAATACTACCTAAAAAATGGCCAAAAAAATGCATTTCAACCGCAATAATCTCCTGAAAAAATTACTTCACAATTGTTGTAACACTCACATAAGATAACACGAATAATATTACAATTTTAAACTAAATAATAGTTGTAAATATCACTGTTAATTATTCAGCACATAATTTTTCAGACTGATGTTTCCTTTACAAACAAAATTTAATTTTTTGTTCATTTTTCTGCCACCAAGGTAAATTTCCTATTCCCCCCCCCCCAACTTACAACCAGCCCTGTATGCATATAATGACGTTATTATAATCTGTATATAGAATAGCTAATCAGCAATAAGCTGTTTTATTTGTTGTGCAGTGGTTTTCAATAATTTCTTTTTGGATTTTTTCAGTATCTGCCATTGAATAATAAATACACGTAGGTACGACTCGAGACTTTTCGCAAAAATTTAAAAAACATAATAGTATATAAGATACTAAGGTAGGTACTCACAAATTTGTACAAACAGCTGGTTTCATTTGTTACTTCACCAGATATGTTGCTGAGTCGTTGGTTTGAAATGAGAATCTTAAATATCTTTTCGGCGGACCTAAGACGAAGCGGACTATAATTAGTATAACAGCCAAGGGCAGGCGACTATGGCCACCACCGCGGCGGGAACTGTTATTCTTGACATACAAGCGCATCAACGCGTGTCAGAGTATTCTATTGACTCGCATATGACGACTTTTCAGACGGACTATACACACCGAATTATCACCAGACATATCGCACCGGGGCGGTATAATCGTGCTACCAAGGCATATACGTACTACAACGGTGCACCATGTAGCGTAGTATTGCCCTGGTGTACCTCTGTTTAACGCGGTGTACCTAGTGTGAGGAATACGAGTTCTAGCAGCCGGCCAAAAATATAAAATATTTTAAAACAATAATATTTAGTGTGTACATTTTATTATTTTTAGAATACATTTTTTAAGTTAATACTAAACAAATCTTAAAAAAACTATTCAATATTATATTTAAGTAATACATTTTAAAATTAAGTCTAATCATCACAACTATACTTTCAGCTTCCTCTTCGTTAAACTCTTTATCTTTGGAGTTTTAAATAATCAATAAATGTATTGCTTCTGGAGATAATTCAGTTGATGATACATTGATACTTTACTCTGAGGTCTTAATCCTGTTATAAATTTGGTCAGATGTTATCAAAAGAAAGTTAAATAAATCTGTATTTGTGCTAAAGCGTGACGATTTTCTTGAATGATGTTCTCGCATTCGTATATAGTCTTTGTTCCGTGACTCTTGAGCTTCCTCAGATAACTGTCCAATAGGGCATATATTTTGATTGCTGAAGAGCCATGTATCAAAATTTTGTGTACCCTTGGAAGCATACGGTACCAATTATATAACTTTACATAAAGTTAAGCTGTTTCTCTAGCATACTCATCAAATCTTTCGTAATTTATTTCATGACCACTAGAAATCACTGTTTTTATTATTGAAAATTTATGGATTAAACGAACATCAAATCCTGGAATTCTTAAAAAATCTTCGAGCAACATTCCCCGTATTTGATGTACCCATACCCTGAACCCCTCTGTCAACTTTTAAACCTAATTCTTGATTCTTCCCAAAGACGAGATTGTATTTCTTTCTTTTTTCTGAAATTAAATTTTTTTGTACAGCAGTTGTTCTTTTAGTTGTTGGAGCCGATTCCAATTTATATGCAATTTGAAAAGTGCACTCTAAAAATTTTATCCAGGCATGCAATGTGGATAAACCGTACTTAAAATTATTTTCATTGATTTTAAATTTGTGTATTTGGTCTAAATTGTTCATATTTGTAGGGTTGTATTTACAAATAAAACAAACTATTGGCTTGAAGATCCAATTAAAGTGTTTATTACTTTGCCATCAATAATCGACATTACCATTGTATAATTAATAGACACAACATTATTATTTATATTTAATTTGAGGGGTTTTAGTTCTGAAATTTCTTTTTCCACTTTTTCTACTTCATTGTATGTTATTTCTACCATCTCTTTATTATACATAAATTGTATTGGTCTACAATAGCGTGTAGAGTCTACACTGTAGACGAAGGTGTTGGATTTGCTCTGTTTCTATTGACCCGACAGTTGGTGGCAATAGAAATATTTATGACTTTTAAATACATTTTTCTACTATAGCAACAGGGTGTTGAATAGAAACAATTATTGATGTTTTTAAAAAATTGAACTCAACTTTTACTATTAAACTTTTTTTTTTATTATTAAAATACAACAAAATTTATCAACTGTATCAATAAATAATAAGAAAACCAAATAAAAATAACACCTTGTCATAACATTTTAGTCTTTTACTTTCCAGTCTTTAGATCAAGCCTGGGCATAAACGCGTTAAAAAGTTAAAAGTTAAGTTAATTTTAACTTTTAACTTAACTTTCTGAAATTTAATTTTCATTAACTTAATTTTTAACTTAACTTATTTTAATTGATATAAACTTTGAAACGGCACGGTCACGATGGACCGGCGTCCGAAATAATAACGCTTGGGTTTTTTGTTATTACATCTTATCCTGTATTTTTACACAAATATATTTTGTACAATGTGGGGACAGCGAGGATCATGGGTGTGACGGTTGGTCTATGGAGACGGACCGTCGCGGTGAGACCTCGGCACGGCCATCAATTGCTAGGCCCTAATTACAAATATGAAGGGAATGTTTGGGGGGGAAACGGACGATAACAGTCGCCGTATGGACGGGGTCAGTATACCACGGCGCGTGACTCGTAAGAAGCGGCTACTGTGATATACTAGACCCGGGTTTCGACACAACTTGATCAAGTGGCCGTAGGAGGGGACGTATGGGTGGTGTTTTAGTCTCCGACTGTTTGAGTCGACGGCAACGGTGGATACCGGCGCAACGCGGCAACTGCTTGGCTCCTGGTACTCCGTGTGGCGGGTACTTGCAGGTCGGGAAAGCGTGTGTGCGGCTGGTTCTCCGAGTACGATGCCGTGGGCGTATTGAAATGCCGTCTACCCCGACGTGGTTCTCCTGCCGGTTGCGTGTGGCGGTCGACGATTGGCTGCGGTTTTGAATGATTCGGGCTTGGGTCGACTTGTGGCCGGCGTTCGTCGTTCACGATATCCCGCTGGTTGTCGGCGACTTATGGCGGCTTCGTGGATCGTCAGGTCTTCGGGTCTTCACTTCTTCTGGTGTTGAGATGTTGAAGGTTGGTGTGTTGATAGAAGACTGATTTCGGTGCGGTGAAAACGTCCGGTATATATACCCGGCCCCGTACCGACTAGTAAACTCCCGTGTTGCCGCCGCTGTCGTTGTGTTTAGGTTCTGTGCGGGAAGTGGTGGCGTCCGCACAGTTTTGGGGCTCTAGGTATGGGGATGGTTTTGTTCGATGGGTCTTGTTCTCACCTTTGGATCCCTTGTTTTCCAGAGTGTGGAACAACCCCGGACCCTCGTACTGAGGGCGCAAAGTCATTCCACCGGGCTGTGCTACCGTTCTGGGCCCTGATTGGTGGACCGTTTTATATGTATGACGGTGTACTGTTACAACTTAATAAATAACGAGTTACTTTTAATCAAATTCAAGTTAAGTTAATTTATAAATAATTAAATAATAAATATAATAAAAAAAATTATTATTGATATTACATAACCATTTATTAGAATAGGAAATTACAAATATAGTTAAATTAATTTCTCGTTCCGTTAACCAGAATTCTTCAAAAAAATAACTTGATTAAATACATATAGATATAGCAATATGCAATAGCCAATAGCCAATTATATTATAACATAGAGGTGTATCGTATATATAAAGATATACCGTACCATACAGCGGCATACGGGCATATTGTAATAATAATAATTAATAAATACTAATAACTAATAAGTAATAAGTAATATGATAAACCTATTATCTTATTATTTTGATATAGATACAAATCAAAAATGTACAATTCTGAAGAACATAATGTAAAATATTTTCGGCATAAATAGGTTATTTTTAAATTAAAACTAATTGGGTTGTGCCCATGTACATTTATATTTCAAATGTTTATATTTATAAACAGTCAATATTGTCAGTAGACAAAATATTCATAGCCCACATGGGTTCACTTTTCGTTCTCGGCTCTATCAGCACGCAACACACGATTTCGGATTTACAATACCGCGTTTCAGTGATTTATGTGAATTGTGTACCTAAAATATAATAATTATGGGTAGGTAGAATTATTCTATTAATTCAGTACCTACCTATGTATAGAAAAGCTATTGGCTATTTCATGTGTTCAATAATATTTATGATTTTTATTATTTTAAAGCATATTACTGGGTGTTTATATAGATACAGTAGAACTTCCATGTAACGGTCACCAAAGGGTCTGTAAATAATGACCGCTATTTAGAGGTGACCGTCCTACAGATGTAGAATAACACTCGACGGGACCAAAAAAATTGACCATTACATAGAGGTGACCGTTTACGGAAGTTTTACTGTATTATGAAAAAAAAAAATTAACTTAACTTAATTTAAGTTAATAAGTTAATTGAAAATGTTCATATAACTTTTAACTTAACTGAGTTAAAAAAAAAATTAGGTTAACTGTTAACTTTAAACTTTTTAAAATGTTTTCCATTAACTTAACTTAACTCAGTTAAAAATTTTCATTAACTTGCCCAGGCTTTAGATTAACTTATTTTATAATATTATGTTACAAACATAAACTATAACTCTTATAATTAACATTGGTAATAATGTAACAAAATGTATACATATATATATATCATATGAATAAATAAAAAATAAAAATAAAATTAACATTTTAGACTATTAATTTCTAGTCTTTGGATTTACTTTTTGTATATTATACGGTAACAAACATCATAATTAATTAGTTAATAAGTTCAACTATTAATTTTTATAAGTAAATGGTTAGAAGACTAGATGGAGTTACAGTTATATGTGAACTTGAAAAGCCCTCTGGAATATGGTACTGATTTTTGCATTTTTCCAATAATTTGGGATCTATCAAATTCACAAATATCTTCAACAAACCCATACACAAAGCCTTTCTCTGTAAGTCATTTGACGTGTCTTTAAGCACCAAATGGCCGATTGTAAATAATTTGGATTAGGAATCTGGTATGTTTTGCTTCTTGGACCTCTTTTTCTAATACAGCCCATGGTTAACCCGCAAGAAGAGACATTTTACAAAATGTATGGTAAAAAAAAAAATAATGAATTTAAAATTATTATACTTAAGTTTCGACTAATGACAACAATTATGAACAAATAAAGTGTGTGAGTAAACGATTAAAAAATTATTACATTATAAACGGTGAGCTTGTTAATTCTTATACTCAATTATTTACAATGAAAGTATAATTTCTTTAATTGTATGATATATATTCTTATTTTTTATTTTAATTAATTATATAAATACGAATTAATACACTTACTTGGTACTATATGTTGATCCATTTTTGATTTAGATAACTACACAACTACTTGTGTTCATATAAAATATCGAAAAACTGAAAAGTATAATATACTACCATGTGGTAGAATGAAATTCATAAGTCTCTATGAACCATACCTACATTTATCGGCTCATTAGTTAATGATTATCGCATATTGCAGTATATTTGTTATCTTAAGATAAATGGCCACAAATATTGAAGTTTATAGTCGCTGATTACGTTGATTACGCTGATTACGCTGATTACTAAAATTTACTAATTTTGACCTGCTAAAAGTTTGATTACTCCCACTGTGGGGCGTCCGCAATGTCAACGTGGTAGTGCACCACTCAACGCATAACCAGGTTCGCCATAGTCATGTACCCCGGTATATACAAATGGTGTACACGGTTACCTCGCACTTAGTAGATAGCGATCAGATACCGGTCGGTAACCGATTTTACGCCAGCGGCAACGGTACTGATCGACTCACACATTGTGGTGGCAAAACCATGCTACCGAGGTATACACCAAGCCTGTGCACCGCTAAGTGTATCCCGGTTACCACTGTTTGACACGGTGTACCTATTGGCGCCCGCATGGTTTACAAATACAACAAATCACAATTAAGTTTCCTATGACATGGCTCTATTACAAAATGAAATGTTTGAAAAACAAATTAAACCCAGATCTTAAGGCCTGCACCATTGCCCATTGGTTACATAAAAGGAACTACTAAAGAAGTGAATATTAGTAAGTAATAACCAAATCAAAATGCTATTACGTAGAATAGCTGTTGTTTTAGGTAAATATAATTTAAATTATTAATTAATCAATTTCAATTTTAAAAACTCTATCTCAATTGTAAATTAGTAGTCAAATTTTAACATTACATAGAATTAACGACCAAACAAAATCAAAAATCTCTATTCCAACATTAACTAGCAATTAGTGTCCACACTTTATTATCTTAATTAGCATAAAACATAATACTTAGTTGATATTATTATAGTATAAATAACACCATTACTAATATTTAGTATTTACCTAAAATTAATAAAGTATTAAGAAGTACTAAATAGATATGAATCCATTGCGAAGAATCATTTCTCTTAACTAGAGTGTATATTGTCTTTCTCAATCTCTTCCTTATCTCTAATAAAGATTAAATGTTATGATTATTATAAATTTGTACTTAAAATTGAATATAAATGTGTAACAAACAATTAGTATCAGCAATACATGTATATGATTCATTTGTAAATTTTGTAAATCAGTATTCGATAGTAAAATATTAAAATAAATATAACAGAATTAGTTGTAGTTATTGATAAAAAAATAAATTATTTAT